CCAGGGCTCCTTTCACTCCAAGTGGTGAATCTTCAAACACAAGACACTGAGAAACAAGGAGGTGAGGGGAAAAAATGAAAGAATAATGTCACTACGAACTTTCAATCTTTTATTTTAAAAGAGAGAATGATCCCAAATACCAGAAAGAAAGGTAAATTCAATTCCTGGCTCAGACATCCCTAATTAGAATAAGGGAAAACCTCTCAGTTTGAACATCTGCATGGTAATTAACCTTAAGTTAATTACACTTTTTTTTTTAAAAATCAACATGCATACTTAAATCCCAGCAATTGGGTATCCAGATGTTCCTAAGTGATTTGTTTTGTAGGGATGAGTTTAAGCACAAGCTTAAAGTTAAGCAAGTGCTTAAATACCTTTATAAGCAGGCGATTTAACTCCTCAAGACCAACTTTACACACTGCAAAATGACAAAAGTAGTGCTTTCACTTACAGGTGTGGCATTTCCTACCTGCACAAGGAGGGGAAGACTACACTGCCTAGGCCAATATTAGGACTTTGGATGACTGCAGAGTAAGACAGAATTCACTCGCCAGAAGAGTGCTGTCGAATTCACGCTCTACTTGCTTAATTCTTGCAAAGCAACGGTGAGGAAGAAAATCAGCAAATATACTGGAAGGTTACTTTGAGAGAAGAGATAGTTTAGCCAGGTAAAAGTTCCATGCCTTACAATAGTCACACACACTCAACGCTGAAGTTTGGAAGCAAAGTTGTTAAAAACAATCAATACATTGTTCATGTGAATTTTGCAATTTAACATCAGAATATTGATTAATAAATATATAACAATCTAAATTAAATTTTTATATATTAAAAGATATCGCTTTTGGAGTTCAATACAGAACATAGACAATGAAGCATCGGTTTGAGATATTATTCAGTCCTGAGTTTGTTTTTTTGGTGATGGATAATTGAAAGTAACCTTTGGTATCCAGCCATCTGAAAAATTCTGACCAACGCTGACAAGTGGGTTCTAACATTTCCACAATTCAGACTGCATTTATTATTAATATTACTAGCACCGCTACTATTATGAATACAACAATTACTGCCACAAGTAATTCCAGTAATTCACCACAGATGTTGGGATGTGCAATTTTCCCTGCACCCTTCAGAGAGTGCAACTCTGCGTTATTACAGATTTATCTCTCACGCATTAAGCCCTTCTCTGCAGTCATCATCGATCTGCCAAATCCCTTCCCACACACCCAGGATGGATTTTCTTATCCTTTTCTTTGCAGCACAATGGACTGTGGCAAGCAATATTGAATGGGTAAGAGTAATGATTTGCTTAACTTAGTTTAACTTTTGACTGAATCCAGATATGACACACTAGGACAACACACAACAGCACACTGTGTCTTTCAGGCTCTCTAACACCACTATCTCCACAGGGAAGATTAGGGATGCACAACTCTTGGTTGTGCTCTAAGAGAATCAAGTCACAACCTGCAAAAACTTTATGTTCAAAGAAAACATTTTTGCAAGATGTACTAAATGTCTGCACTATATATATAGCCATCTGTACCAGAGGCAGAGGAAGAGGGAATGAACCCATTCTTTCTGCTTTCTTTTCGTCTTAAAATACAGATTCTTGTCCATCGAGATGTCACCAACCACTTAGTCTGCCAACAGAAAGCGAGAGGTGCTTCCCACCTTGCATGTAATGAAGTAAAACTTAATGATTTTTAGTGAGCCAATGGAATCACACCAATCCGTTTTGTGCTCATTTCCTTTACGTAGTCACTGAATTCCAGTTTGAACAATGTGGTATTGTGCTGGTTTTGGCTGGCATAGTGTTATTTTTTTTCCACACAGCTAGTATGGGGCTACGTTTTGGATCTGTGTTGAAAATCACACTGATAACACAGGGATGTTTAGTTACTGATGAGCAGTGCTTACACAGAGCCAAGGCCGTTTTGCTCCTCACACCTCTCCACCAGTGAGTAGGCTGGGGGTGCACAAGAACCCGAGAGGGGACACAGTTGGGACAGCTGACCCCAACTGATCAAAGGGATGTCCCATACCATACTACATCATGCACAGCATTTAAAGCTGGGGTAAAAGAATGAAGGAGGGATGGCATTTGTCTTCCCAAATAACTGTTACGCACGATGGAGCCCAGCTTTCCTGAAGATGTCTAAACACCTGCCTAATGATGGGAAATAGTGAATTAATCCCTTGTTTTGCTTTGCTTGAATGTGCAGCTTTTGCTTTACCTATTAAAACTGTCTTTACCTTAACACATGAGTTTTCTCACTCCTGCTCTTCCG